TATTAATGCCACTCTTAAGATCCCGCCAAATTGGAAACAGAGCATAGTCATCCCAATACATAAAAGGGGGACCCACAAGATCCGCGTAACTATCGACCCATCAGCCTGCTAGACATATCATACAAGGTTTACTCTAGATTCTTGCTAGAGAAATTAATCGAGTGGGCAGAAGAAACAAAGCTATTCCACCCGGAACAGGCTGGCTTCCGTAAAGGTCACAGTACATCTGGCCAATGTCTTGTTCTATTTACCCTGATTGATAAATACCTAAACAGGTTTAACTGCAAACTACACGCGGCTTTTGTGGACCTGACCGCCGCTTTTGACTCCATTCCCAGAGATAGGCTATGGCAGAAGCTTAGTTACACCAACATAGATAAGAGACTCCTCCTTCTTCTTATGGAAATTCACAATGACATATCGGCCAGAGTAAAATTCGGCCCCCTGGGAGCTCTTTCTGATTCTTTCCCTCTGAATAAAGGGGTCAAACAGGGCTGCCTCTTGGCCCCTTTTCTATTCAATTTCTATATCAACGACATCGTTACAACTATGCAGGCCCTAAATCAATCTGCCCCCTCTCTACAACAGCTCAAGATCCCCATATTACTCTATGCGGACGACATGGTGATACTGTCTTTAACCAAGCAGGGCTTAAACAACATGCTCAGAGGGCTCATGACATATTGTGATACCAATTCCCTCAAAATCAATTTCGCCAAAACCAAAATTCTTACTTTTGGCACGAAAACTCGGAAGTCATTCTGGAACTTTGAGGGCCACTCTATTGAATATTGCTCAGCTTTCAAGTATTTGGGAATCACTTTTCAGCATGGGCTTAGCTGGTCAGCTCACCTAAATATGACCATCCTGGCTGCCCGTAGAACCATCAAAGCCTTGGAGAAATTCTTCTATGCAAAAGGCGGCCAGTTGGTTCCACCAATCAGAAAAGCATTTATTAGCAAAGTCCTCCCGATGTTACTGTATGGGGTTGAAATCTGGGGGTGGAATTTAAAAACACTTCAACGGCTGGAGATTCTACAAAACTCTTTTGTACGAAAGATACTGGGTCTCCCCAAGGGCTCGGTTGCTGCTCAGTTAAGAACAGAACTGGGCCTCCCCTCCATTGTTGCGAGAGCCCATATTAGAATTATTAGTTTTTATTGCAAATTAATCAATGCCCCAGGTTCCCTACTAGCCAGGCAAGCCTTTTTAACTTGTTCTCACTCCAACAAATGGTCCAAGGCCATGGAGACTATTACTGTACGCTACTCCCTCCCAGAATTCGACACGTTGTCATCTTGGGACCAACATAAAATCCGGGACTGGATTCTTATAAGAGATGAGGCCATGGACCGGGCACAGTCCACCTCAGCTCGCCTCTCCATGTGGCTCCCTAAAGTGAAAGTGGTAAGATCACTTGCCAACTACTTGATAGACCTGACGGAGCCCAATTTGAGAAGAGCGTTTACAATGGCCCGTTTTCATTCTATACCCACGGCCTTCTTGCAGGGGACCTACTCTAAGACCCCTATTACTCAGCGTCTATGTCCATGCACAATGAATGAAGTAGAGGACTTCATACATTTCTTTTTCTACTGCCCTATTTATGACCCAATAAGACCTAAGCTCCTCCTCTTGATCCCGTCCTCCATTTCATCTAAGGAAGACTGTCTGAAAGCACTTCTTGTGGACGCAAATCCCCAAATTTCACGTGGGGTGGCAATCTTCATAGTGCAGGCTCTGAAACTCAGGGCTACTCTGACAGGGTAGTGTGCCCTAGTCCTGGACCTGTTTAATTCTTTTATTACCTTTTAACTCAATGTGCTGAGCCTATTTTGGGGCCATTTTATGCTTTATTTATATCCGCATACTAGTTTTTGGTGCTGGCAACCAAATCTTTGTATTATTGTCTTAGGGTGTTTTAAAGGTCATTACGCCAGCAATATCGCTTTGAATTTTGCTTGGTTGCTTGTCCCCAACATTTTTTGTATTGTCTTATTTTGCTATGGCTGTACGCTAATGC